TGTAATTTTTTTTTTAATTTTTAATTTTTAAAAATAAATAAATAAAAATAAATAAATAAAAATAAATAAATAAAATAAATAAATAAATAGCATCATCTATAATTTTGATTTAATTTGATCTTGTTGGTTTGTATACCATGCCATTTCCACCTCTTTTCTAGTAAATCTGATGATTGAATGAGATGAGCGAGTAGGTGAGTTGATCACTTTATTAATAAATAACCTAATCATGATAATTTTTTTTATTTTACTTACCCACACTTTTCATAAAATGGTACATTCTATCATGTATAAATGTGTTAGCATGTGTTTGTGTTTATTAATGTATTTGTGTCAGTGCGTGAAAAATAAACCTCACCTTTTCAGAACAATCCAATATCACTTTGAAATAGTAATTTTTAAAAATATTATTATCTCATTGTGAACAATATTCAACTTTATTTATTCGTTATTTAACATTACCTTTATAACATCCTGCCTTTGCTCCAATATATTTAAGAGCTTGAATTATTCTTAATCCAAGTTTTTTCCCCTGTTGATTCTTATCAACTGCAATGTCTTCAATATGTCCGACCTAACCACAATATATACGCACACACAAAAGTATATTATTAAACTTGCAAGAAGGCGAAGAAAAAAAGGTTGGAGAATCAAATAAATAAAGTAAATACCAATCCTGTGTTACGAATAAATTTACGTTCTACAAATATTGTTCCAGCTCCAACAATTCGATCTTCGGGTGAAACAATGACAAGTGTAAAGTATTCATAATTGTGCGTTTTCAAAAAATAAAATCGTTCTAATCAAGATAATCAACAGAGGTAGATAAATCTCAGAGATGACGATATCATGCACTAAAATAAATTTTATAAAGAACATTCGATACTGCTACTACCACTACCACTACCACTATCACCACCACTATCTTGTTTATTTGTTTATTGTACAAGATTTAGATTATGATCTATTGTTATTATTTGTAAGCAAAATCTAATCTTTTAATATCTTGTTTTTCACTTTACAGTTGCTATCATTCTTAATTGCAGGAATTAAATTGGACAAAAAAGACAATATATTTTTTAATTGTAACAAATTGTATCATAGATTATCACATTTTTATTATAATAACGTAAACCTTATTAGGACTTGTGAATTTAAAATCCATGCCATTAGTTCTTAACAAGTTAAATCAATTTCATAATTACCAGATGGATGGGTCCCTTAGAGGCATATTTTTATGAATTTCATTCGCTTGGCAGAATTTGACTAATACTAACTTCACATCTGCGATCTTCCCCATGGCAATTGTAAGTTGGTGTTTTATTAATATTTCTAAATGCCCCACTATTTTTCTATTTATCATTATGTATATATCTCTTCTAGTATTTATAATGATTCTAAATTCTCATAAATCTTTTTTCGACTGACCATATGAGCCTATGAGATGATTGTAAATTTGGGAAAAGATTTTTGCGTTTATCACTAACTCTTTCCTATCAATGCCAATTCTTCATTTACGGCAATACTTTTCAGGGTTAGCCGGGTTTCTCATTCATACAATTCTAGTCGCACTAATATTAATAGGGAAATACATGCTACTTATTCCAAATCATTGCCTTTGATCGTAACCAAATAACAACAACTCTTTTTGTCAAGTCAATAATGATTGATATTGCTATCCTATTTCTGGT